CCCCCTCAGCCATGTGAGAACCTGTGGGCGCTGAGCATCCGAGGATATGGGCAGCACACCGACCAGCGCATGCAGATGTCAATGCGATGAAAGATGATCCCAGCCCGCCTGTGATCTTCACCACGGCCATAGGGCATGGATGAGCCAAAAGAATGGCTTTTGGCAGTCTGATCACCTCAAACCCTGAAAAAACAACACTTTCAGGAGAGTTAGTTGTTTCCAACCAAAAGCAGTGAAGTTAGACAAACTCGAGAACTACTGGAAAATATGCATCGTTCGAAGATCTAGGAATTGCGTTGTCAAACTTTGAGTGTGTTGTGTATGTGTGTATAATGTGTGTACTGTATGTAGACCGGATGACTTGGACTCAGTAGTTAGTGTTGCAATGTGTTGCAAGAAATTGTGCACGGCATGTTGTATATGTTCGGGGGTAGTTAGCCGACATTACAAAATTGTATCACCGGAGAACACACTTTCAAGTTGCATAGCAAGAGAAGCATGTCTAGAGGTTAATTAAGAAGCACAGATGGCCATTGAAAAGAATCCCACCAGGACCATCCGACCATCTGGGTGTCCTGGCTGGACTACCCTACACTGCCATCGTGGACCGACAGGATACCCATCCTGGTCGACAGACGATAGATGACGACAGGCGTGAAAACCCGGCATTGTCCCTCAGGGTGCGGTCCGGTCCGCACGTCCGTTCGCCACAGCCGGTCCTGTACCGAGGTGACGAGACACCGATCTTCCAAACCAAATTCGGAGGTTCGCACAGTCCGACGGGGCCTTTTGGGTCCGGTTTTTGCCATTTTGATGTGCGCTCGCAAGGGTTTTGACGACATCGATCTGGAAGGAAGACCCCAAGTACAAGAGCCTGAGGCAGGCCTCACACCATATGACTCATGACAGTTCTTGCGAGAGGATTCGCAGTCCAGCACAGTTTCCGCGCCCCCGACACTTTTGGCTGGACGACTGTAGTACGTCCAACGCTTTGGCAATTGTGCCGGAGATTGCTGGCTATTGGACCTTTCTTCAGAAGGTCCAAGTTGTTTCAAGACGCAGGGTTGCTCCGTTCTGTTTGTCTTTCAATGTAGCGCCCAACGGAGGGACATCAATAGGAGCCACAGAAGATCCAAGTGAAGCCATGTAATGCAAATATAACTTATAACCATACAGCACCACTAGGGCCGCAGTAGGTGTTGACCCATGATCGGCATGGAGCAGCCCTGAATAATAGCTTGATTGAGTGAGGCTGTCAGCTGAATCGCATGTTCCACAGCTGTAGCTCATCACACGCGAGCAAAATGGAGACTGGGTGAGGTCCTGGGGTGGTTTTCTGAGGTTTCTAGTCTTCCCCGCCCTGAAATTGGGCATTGGATGGCATTGGGTACCAGAAGCCATGTGGTCCCCTTTATGGAAGCTGTGAACAGTTGGCCACGTGAAGTAAAAGACCCCTGTGTCGGTTCGTGCACTCAGCGCGACTGGGTTGGCGCTGCTGTTTGGTTTGAGGCGTATTATTGTTATTTTAAGATACTTTTCAGGTTGCAGGTGTGTAGTACACTTGTGCAAACTGATAGACGTAATAACATGCAAGAACTAACAAAATAGATGGACCCTTCAGTTCACAAGGAGGGAGTGCCAGTTTCGCAGTCCTTTGCAAGGAAAAATTTTGCCCTGCCCTGAACGCATCAGCCTAGGCCTTGGTGGCCTTTCAAGTAGCCATGGCCGCTCGGTATATGAGCGTTACAAGCTGGGTTTTCCTCGCCACCGGGTGGCACAGGCTCTGGTGCCAGGGATTTGTGGTTTCACAAGCATGTGTTTTTCAATAGCTGCCCCTCCTTCTCATTTGAGTGGTCATTTCAGATGATTTGTCTTGAAAAACCCGTGCCTTGGGATGATTCTGGGATGATGTAACCCACATGAACCCACTAACGAACCGATGGCCCGCGAGCGAGCAGAAACCACCCGTCCCAGACACCGCCAGACGCCTCGGTGGGAGGGACGACAGTGGCAGAACCTGAAAGCTGCTACCGCTACTGCTCATCCTGGAGACTCCTGCTTCATCCGTATCCTTCCAAGGGTTCTGCTATCTGGAACATCTATCTCATGGCAGGAGTGAAGGGTTCTCACTCCTGCGTGAGTGTTTTCCCCCCATGCATCCATGGCCTCTCCGCCTTCACGGCCACTCGTGGTTTCGCCCAGGAAGCCCTGTCGCCCTTGCCGCCGTCTTCGCCACGCTTGGTGCGGAGCTGGGCGCAGGTCGGGTCGGGGGTTCGTCCGTGCGGTCCCGGCGTGCTGGGCAGAGAAGAGGGCGCTGGAACAACGATCGGACTCTCCAGTTCGGTCTCCAAGTACCCTGAGTCGGTAGATGGTAGTAGGGTCCGAAAAGACATACATACCAGCAGTCACAGAGCTCGGGGTGCTATCCATGGAGGTAGTCGGGGTGCCCCTGTCACATCCACAGCCCCTGTGATGGGACGAGCCACACCACCCTGGCCTCCATGTGACGTTTCACTCAGTACGGCTGAAGAGTTCTTTTCATCATACCCCTGTGAGCGATGTTTCACACGGCACAGCTGTTCTTCCAACGAAGAAAAGCAGGCGACCAAGAGTGGTCGACGATGTGACTCCTCATACCATCTCGTACCGACTGGTCGCGGAAGAACAAACATGGCCAGTCCAAGCGATGTTTTTTACAGGTTTCACGCCCCCCCAAAAGATCTAAGTATATTTTAACCGATCACCTTCCTGGGTCAACAGCTTGAGTCTACATCATTCGTCAACCTCGGCCCAACCGTAGCACCCGTCGCACCCGTCACACCGTCAGCAGCTCACCTCTTGGCCGCGAAGCGGTGTACAGTTATAGGGGTTTAGGGGTTGACAACTTCAACCCCAATAAGTTTGGGTTTGTTTACAGTTGTTGTTCAACCTATACACTTGTGTTGGGGCTGAACACAATATTCACTTTACTACATTCCCAACTGAAAACCCCTTGCCGCCTTCCAATTTGAGCAAACCGAGACCCCCAATTCAGTTTGGCTTGTCAGCACGTCGCCCGATGCGTTCTGAAGGATGAACTAAGGTCGCCCTTGTCGCGTGGAAAGTGGTAGGATTGCTGCCAACAGGTCAGAGCCAACAAGGGGTGCTAATGGGTGGTAGGAATCATCCGCTTGAGTTCCAGTGTCTCAGGTGAGGCATCATCCATGCCAGGAGTTTCGCAGGTACCTCCTCTTGGAGGGTCAGGGTGCCCAGAAATATCTACTCCCTTCAAGACAATTGAGACAGTCCTAGTCCTAGAATTGGTTTAAGGTAAAATCTACTGGAAGCCATGGTGTTCACCCGGGTTAAGTTTCCTGTAGGTTTTTCTTGAAACCGATCTCGGGAGACAGAACATCACCCCACCATGAAACTTATTCGAAGAACCGTCGGTCGCCTGTTCTCCGTCTCGCGGAGGCACAGACCTTGCTCCTGCGGATGGACGGGGTTTTCACGACTTTTTTTCACGGGGCGGGTGATCCTGTCGGGGCGTCAGACGCTGTCAGGGCTTGGTGATGCACGATGAGATATACGTACGCTTGCGGATTGCATACACATGACTGATCACTTCTCTTAGAAAATAAGGATGAGTCAATTTGACTGGCAGAGTCATCACAAATGTGGAAGTACTCACCCATCAAAGCTTCAGTTGCTATGGCAGAACATGGAACCTGCAACCTGAGTGCATGAACCTTTGTTTTGACCGTTGTCACGGATTGCCGATCAACAATAAATTGTTCATATTTGTTTTGGTGTGCCTCCTGTCAGATGTTTTTGTACATGATTTGGGGACGTAGTAGCTGTTCATCGTCCAGCCGGTCTTCACACCAGCTCCATCCCCTTGACTAAATCCCGAGAGGATAGCACTAAAAGACCTTCAAAGCACCAAATCGGTCTCACCACAACACAACCTTGATATCGCAACTGTCTTAACAAATCACATTGATTGCCAAACAACCCTATATAGAGATCCAGTCGTTCCTTCTCAGAAGGTACTGATAAGGCACTTAGACCCTCCTGGTACCTACATAACAGTGTCTCCAAGTCTCCGATCACCTTTTTCTGAGAAGGGTACGACTGGATTCCAAGGGCAACAACTTCGCTCCAAAAACTTCCTTCCCCATACGGAGACCCCTACCCCTCTCAATTACGGGAGACGCAGCTCCATGCAGGAACAACTGCTTCAGCTGCCTGCAACAGAGTACTTGTGGGGAAGCCAAGGAGTACTTTGCCTGTTTCAGTCCTGTTGTTGGGAACATTTTGGAGGTAAGGAATTGTATAAATTTAGACCATGGTCGGGTCGACTGCAGATCATCTTATGTGTTGGGTTACTGATCGTGGTGAGGCTGCTAGGAGCCCCATGCTGGTGCCAGTGGCGGGTGGACATATGTGGATGTTCAGAGTCTGGTAATATGGCCAAATGATGCCAAAGGTTTGAATTTGAAAACGGTTTGAAAACGGTGCCAGCATAAAAATGATCCTCAGTCATGTTGTCTATAGCTGGGCATTTGGGGGACATTATATGCACATTTATACCGTTCCTGGACATATGGATTATAGATCATCTATATTCATCTATTAAATTATATATGTTATTTATTTGTTCTTTACAATTGCGTTGCGGTGCCGCGTTTCAATGTATTTACATTGGTGCAACCACATGTTGTCCCTTGACCCAGTTGAATGTTGTGGGGCTCGGTGGCTCCAAAGCTGGCTTTGGAGCGGCGAGTGCGCGGATGAATGGTGCGGGGATCGTGAAAAGGTGTGTTGAGGTCGTTGGAACATTCAGATCCTTACCGTGTCACTGTCCCAAGCAATCATACCTGGAAGGATGGCAATGGACTAGTTCGGAATTTATTGCGGTCGTTTTTGGGTTCAAGCTCGCGGTTGAAACGGTGGCAGTGGAGTTGCTCTTGGTCGGAGTCGGCATTTGTTTGGTATACCGGCTCTCCAACCAAAAAAGACTATACCAGGATCATCCAATGGGTGTCCAATACACTACCCTACCCTTATAGGTCTCCATTGGCCACCTATTGGTATAGTATTTTTTTCGTTGGAGAGCCGGGGTGTTTTGAGAACGGTTGCACGAAGCAAGGCTTCGGACCCAGCTGGAGTAGGTGTCCCGGACTTCACCCCATGTGTGCGGAGTTCACCACCACAGAACGAGTTGATTTGTCGCCCTCCAGTCTTGAAATCAAATCAGAAACATTGTGATTGGTTGAAATGGTTTTGGGGTGCTTTAGGAGACCTGCAGATGTCAATCCAGGACGCAGAGAACGCCAAGAGCTCTCGGAAACCTCAGACGCTCCTCCTAAAGGTCCAGCCTGTCGATGGCGGAGTTTCAGTCTGCCCTCACTGTGGCAGATGGCCGCTGGGCGAGATCGGTGGAAGGTTGGGTGCTGGGGTGAGTTGTTTCCAAGATGGAACGGTTAGACGTTGTTAGATGGTCAAGATGTTACTTCTGACTTAGATGGTTCATTATGTTCATTCAATTTCTATTGAGTGATTTATTTTGGAGTAGTGTTTTGATGATGGCCAAGGAACTTGACCCAAGACACGCTCACAAGGGCATCCAAAGCCAACTCATATCACAACATCAGTATCCGGAAGTTGGATGTCACACCACGTTGATCTTTGTGCCAACATTTTGGCGGACATGCATAAATTTGTAGTGGACTGCAGAGTATGGTTTTGTTTGTATCGATACATTCACTGAAGCCGCAAGACTACGTTCTGCTCCATTTGGAATGTAGAACAGCTGATCGGATTGGGGACTCTCAATCTTGATTTTTCAATCTTGGCTGGAGGGACAACCTAATCAGCAGAGGATTCTATGTGATACTCCTTTGCCTGATGTGACAGGGCTTGAGGTGACAGGTGATGGATGGGACGAGTTGGTGGATACTCCTGCACCGCGCCAAATTCCTGCGGAGGTAGATGATGTTGGATAACATATCATTCAAACAATAGTGAAAGATACATGTTTGACAGAGAACTCAACTTCTAAAGAAAACAACCAACAAGGTTTTAGATAAACATTAATGCTATACACATGTCAGTGCC